GCGGGCTTAGGAATACCAGACGAGGGTGAGTACGCGCGCAAGATGGCCGACACGGATGAAGCGCGCGCAACAGCGTGCGCGTGTGAGGAGCTCGCGCGATGCCTAGTCACCGAAGGATTAGGCGAGAGGGACGCGGGCGCACACGCGCAAGGGGTAGTCGGCGGGCGTACAGCGTAAGGCAGCGGGGCGCGTGCTGGGCAGGCGAGCGAGGACCCAGTCCGTGCAGGAGGAGGACTGGCGGAGGCGGTACGTGCGCGCGAAGCCGCGCACGACGAGGATTATGAAACCCCGAAGGGCGGCGCGCATGCGTGACGCATATGAGGCGGCCGAAATTACTTGGGCGTGTGGATTGGATTGTTTGGAGTGCAAGCCAAGCAAAATCAAGATCTAGTCAATTTAGGACTCTAGTATATTTAGTTTCCTTCTTGCACAATGGTATCAAGAATGTTTAGGAAGTAAATATTTTTTTGCTTTAATATGTTTCATAGGTAGATTAGAATTAGTCATAGTTAGGATCTATAAATAGGGATCATCCCTCATTGTTTTGAGAAGTCTTGGATGAAATAGAAAAGGAACGTTTGTTCAAACAGTGTGTTAGGATTCGTGAGAGTTCGATCATGAAACCGAATTGGTGAGGCTAAGACCCAAGCCAGTTCAACGATTTAGAGAGGCTAAGACCCGATCTATTTCGAGAGTGTAGCGAGGCTAATACCCGAGTGAACTCAAGTATCGTGAGAGAGTTAGGCTAATAACCGAGTCGATCATACCTATCGTCGAGAGCAAGGCCGTGGCGAAGCCGTGATCGAGACAAGTCGAGGGAACGCAACACCCGATCCGTAATCACTGACTGTCGGCGTGCTGCTGCCGCTGTGTGCGGACAGCGCAGCCACGACCGGCCCTTGCCGGCCGTCCGGCGATTTCTCCCGACCGAATCAACATGAAACAACATGATTTAACATGAAATGATCATAACAACAATATCTCCTGAAGTTGAACAAGATAACATAAATTTTGTGGTTCAACGACCCATCACGGCCGATGGCGTGCGCACCGTGCGCCGCCTATGGCGTTAAGCTATTTTCTCGACCGAACATGAATTTTCACTCGACAACCTGGACTTACAATGACATAACATGATCAAAATAACATGATTTATTCGGGAGATTATCGACGTAAATTAACATAACTCGGTGGGACATGATATGGCCTGTGGCGTGCGCTATGTGCGCGCTCACGTCTTTCGGCCATTTCACCGACAAAACTCAAACTTCCCTCGAGTAACTTGATTTAACTGAATATAAACTGACTTATAATGATCAAATAAACATGTATTGCTCGGGACATTGCCGGATAAAAAGAAGTTTACTCGGTAATGGCTTAAACCGAACACATCATGACATTTTCATGAATCTTTAGAACATGAGCTGAGTAAAGTGAACCTAACATGAATTTAATAACATGAAAAGATGTTGAGGGCAAGACTACCTCCTCAAGTGTTCGGCTAAACTCCAAGAACGGGCGTGACTTCCGGCTCCGTGCGCATGCTTTGCCTTGTCGTTGCGTGTGCCGTGCGGTACTCTTGAGTGTTGCTTGCGGTTAAAGCTCTCACTCTCCTCATTTACTAGCTTATTTGGAAGTAAATTTATGGATGAAAGCTCAAGGAAAATCATCCCAACTCTTACTTATAATAATGACCGAACATGAAGAGGTGAGGATATGATTTGGCCAATGAATTTTCTCCATTTAACAAGCTTAGGCTTAACTTGAGCTTAGTCATCACTTACTCTAGCTTAGTCACAAGTTTGGTGCCTAATGAGAAGACACCTCATGCTTAATAGATGATGACTATTCCACATGAATATTTCCCAAATTGCACACGGCAATTAGAGGAATTTGGCATGACAATTTCCTTAATTAAGCTTAAATAATTGATGAGTAATCCATGAGATTTCCTAAATAATTGCTCACGGCAATTAGGGATAATTTGAACATGATTTGGACATCAGTGACTTAAGCATGATCATGATATTAATTAAGC